TTTTTTTTTTTTTTTTTTTATTTCTAATTATAAAATTTTACACATACATTAAATAAATATTTACATAGTTTTTTGATATCTTACTATTTTATGTATTTATCGTACAAATTTGGAAGGATTCAGTACGCAATTCAAGTTTATAAAATAACACAGCTACAGTTTTTGTCTGCTACACGAAATGCTCCTCACTTCTCCTTATTACACACTATCATTTATTTGGCTTAGCTTTTTTTTTCCTGTTATTATTTTTGTTTAATATTTATTATTTTTTATTTTTACAAATTTTAGTGATGACCTGAAAAAAGGCTGCTGCTTGCTGCAAAAAAAAAAAAAAAATCACTTAGAAAAATGTTGAAAACATAAACTTTACTGTACAAAACTGAAATGCAAGTTTAATTTATCTTCAACAACTTTAGTTGATTACCTTTCGGCTGGTTTCTGTTATTTTGTTTTGGTGAAACAGAAAAAAATCAAAATCCAACAATTCTCAGTGGTATTTTTACGTGAACCAAAACCCCACAAATTAAATTCTTATTTGCTGAAAATAGTAAAGAAAAAAAAAAGAAAAAAAATCAGATACATTACTTTGATAGCCAAAGGAAGAAAAAACGAACGACCTATAGCAGTGGTTGTTTTGACCTTTCAATAAATTGGTGTACAAAGTTGTTTTTCTCTTTCTTCTTCTTCTTCCTCTTCTCCTTCTACTTCTTAAAAGGTCATGATTCTGAAACTTTTTTGTAGATCGTTTACTGAAAGATCAATATCAGAAAAAAAAATTTTTTTTCTAATTTTTTAAAGCCTTTTTCTTTTTGTAGAAAGTTTTTTACTAATCTTCAATTAAACAGTTATTTTTTTTTATCTCTTTTACGCGTTTGGTTTTTAAATAGATTAGATGAAAATTTTGAGCAGATTTTCAACTGCGATACTGTAGCTTTTTATTATTGAAAACTGAAAAGGAAACAGATTAAAGATTACTGAAGTCTGAAAGGAATTATATACGATCAGTAAAACAGTGTAATTTATATAA